GGGCTCGGGCCGGGCCGGGCCTCGCCTCCTGTGCGGGGCCCTGCCCGCAGGGGGCTGTGAGAGGTCGCAGGAGGCTTTAGCTGCTCCGGGCTGATGACTGGGCAGCGGCCTGCGTGACTGGGTCTCGAGCGGGAGATTTCTGGGCTGTTCCGTTTTTTAGTGGTGGCCTTAAGTTGGCAGGTAGCAGCGTGTGAACACGTTAGTGGGTCATTCGCTATGGAGGTGTCTGGGCGGTGGGAAGTGCCCTGCTGAGGCCTGCTCTCCTGTCTCACGCTTGCCCCTAAAAGAGGCTTGGGGAAAGAGGGTCAGAAAGAGAGGCAAGACTGGGGCAGGGCTCCCCAGGCTTCCCTTAAGCGCTGTGCTCTGGGCGTTTGTTGCTTTGGAGACAAAGCCTCCGCATGAGGTTGCGTCTGGGTCGTTTTGTTTAATAAGCTACCAGTGAGTCTGCACTCTGTGAGTTTCAGCAGTGCTCTGAAACTCTTTGTGTTTCTGGTGCCAGAGGCTGCCCTGGGAAAAATCCCATACGTAGAGGGGTCACAGAGTGGAAACATGGCCCTGTGGTGAGGCCCTGGCTTCTGGGGGTGGGAAGAAGAGGCACGGTTTGAAACATGGGTCTGTGGTAAGAAGGCAGAGGATGATAAGGGTTGTGGGTGTGAAAGTGAGGGAGGGCTGCAGGAAGGAGGACAGAATTACTCTAGTCGTGACTGTGTTGCCGAGCGTATGATCTGGCTGTGCAGTGTGGCAACTGAAAGAGCTAAGGTAGTTCTTTGCTGTTTATGGAGCACCAGCAGAAGTAAAATTACCTCTAAAAGTTTGTCCGAAAAGCCAGTTGACAAAGGGGAAGGTTTTACAATTGCTGGAAGGATAAGGTGCAGTTTGGGAAAATATACTTTACTGTGGGAGACTAGGTCTTCTCCTCAAAGGTAGTCTGTGGGGAGGAGACTTCTGCTGGATTGAAACATAAGTAAGATCTGGTTTTGGTTCTCCAAGATTGATCTCCAAAGATCTCACGCTTGAGAACATGCACTGGTGAAGTGACTTGTATTTTTAATGATGAGAAAATCTTGGTTTAATTGTAACGCTCTGAGTTAATCCAAATATGAAAGAAGTGATCTTTAGCCAGCCAGCAAGAGAGTAGCTGTCCTTGACCAGTAAAAGTTCCTGCGTTTGTCCTCATGTTATCACTGAATACCTGCTGCTTAGCGTAGCTCTGAGATTCCATAGTGTTGTGATGACCAGGGTTAGACCTGAACTCCCCATTCATAAAATTGCTCTTGACGGTGTTACTCATTTGGGACCTCACCCGGTATTATAAGGAGAGGTATGATAAGTGACATGCAAATTTTGTTTATTATGGTAGTGTTCCTTTTTTGTTTGGCCTAGTTAAGCCATAAATATGGTTCCTACCCTGCAGGGTTAAGACCAGAAGTTTTTTGTTTGTGGAACTGCCTGTATTGAGTGCTCCCACTTTCCAGGGAGAATTAATGCAACTGAAGGAATGAGATAGTGTTTCTGAAGGAGGTGAATGTCAGTGGCAGTATGTTGCACAAATGTTGTTATCTTTCTGCTTTCTAGTTTTAATATGATGTAACACATGAGGTGTTTACTACCATACCTGACCTCAAGTTAAGCTGGTTGTTAGTAGCCTAATATTCTATAGCCTCTTTGTACCAACTTGTAGAATGATCATAAATTAGAAAACAAATTGATGAGCTGTGTATATAGGGTAGCTGGTTATAGTACACAGTAATTTCTTGTGATGCAGTTAAGTGGGCAGGAATCCAGCTCCTATATTCTGTCTACCAATGCAAATCAGTAAATGTGTTATTAGATTAATTCAGAAATTGCCTTGCAAGCTAAAGGATGTTGGCTAAACTTGGCAGATTGTACTGGAAGCTTTCCTGGAAAGATCAGTAGAGGGTATTTAAAACTAGTCTGTGTGCAGATGTTATTTTTGGTTCTCAATTCTGGAAACTTGAATCTGTGTTATTTCTGACTGCAGCAAAATCATTTTTTGTGTTTAAAAGAACCACAAATGGTACAGCTGTGATCTTTTAAGATTAAAAATTAGTTTATGAACTAAGGCATCTGTTTACTAGGTGCACTTCTATTACAGCCTCTCTACTTAGTCCTAACATTGAAATTCATAGCTGCAGATGGAGTTCATTGTATCTGCTGTCTTATTTTAAAACACTACTTTGAGGAGAACTCTAGTGTGTTTACGTCATTGTTGACCTGCACTGTTGCTAGTGATGGTTAAAGTCTTTGGAAAGCTTCCTTCGTGAAGGCGTGATGCAAGAGCAAAGCTCATGAAGTTGGAGCACCACTCGAACGGCACCCTAAGAGCTGAAATCGTGGTTTAATGGTAGATGTGTTCACGACATTATTGGTGTATGGCATTATTTGCCTTAAGGCTCTAGTAGGAGCCTGTGAGCGCCCTGGTCTGGCATTTTGCAAAGTAACTAAGTGTGTGTTTGTGTGTGTATTTAGCTTTTTGTTGGGACAAACAAGAGAAGGGTCTGCTGTAGTAGGAGCAAGTGAGGTGTGAGAGAGGCGTTCCTTAGAGTAGTATTGCTGCAGAGGCATCTGGCCTATCAAGGTGTGATCTCAAAATAAACAATTATTTCAGTATTTAAAACTGAGAGAATATAGGTGAGTGCTTCTGGCATTTTTCACTTTTCAAATCTGATTTTAGTAAGGAAGATTAGAGTTCATATTTCTGTATCTGAAGCACTGTCAGGAGGCATTTTTCTGTGATGATCCGAAGCTTGTATCATTAATTTTATGCTGCTCTGGCATGCCTAAGCATGCTAAATTAGAGACAGTCAAAGGAGGTGTGGGTTTTTTAGAGCAGTTAGTCACCCTCATGTGAAGACTTCTTACACTGAGGGGTGAAATGACATGTCTGTCTGTTTACCACTAATGATACCTTTTTCCTAGCTGAATTTCGAATTTTTTTTTTTCCACAGCCAAGGCTTTTAACGTTGGTATGTAAGTTAAAAGAAATGAATACTAAAAACCAACCACTAAAAATATTCTTCAGTCTTGTATTTATGAATTCCTGAATTACAGGCTGTAGACTGTCTAATTTCAAGCCTAGTGTATGCCAAAAAGATTTTCTAAGGTTGCCAATATTATTGCTAAGTATTGAATTGTAAACACAGGCAGTTTAAACTTCAGTGCCTGAAGTAGTTACCTTCTCTATCTGTCCTTGCTTTTAAAACTCTAGTTTTAGGGTTGTCAGAGCTGTCTAGGTGTGTGCTAGTTCTGGGACTATGAAGGTAGCGTGTCAAATTTTAGTCTTCGTTCTTGCAATTCCAACTAATTTTTGGAATTTGCAAGTTGGGCGCACTCCAGGTTCAAAGCAACACATCAAATGAGATCCTGAGTTCACAGCTGTTTCCTGACCCTCCTTGTCAGGGGATCCTTTAGGTCCTCATTCTCTCTCCCACTCCCTCATTTAGATCTTTTGACTTCCAATTCCCAGTCACCGTTGTTTGATATTCTCCTCCAGCCTGGGCTAGAAACTCTAGCCTTTTCTCTCTTTGAGGACTGTGTGTTTTTATGTGGAGACCCAAGCGAACAGCCCATGACGATGTCTGCTCTCTGTGCCTGCTGCTTCCCTAGAACAGGTACTGGTTGTCAGATTTGGCAATGAGCCAGTTCAGGAATCTTAAAACTGGCAGAAAATCAGACTTTTTTTTTTTTTTTCCTTTTTTTTGTGGTGGGCTACTTGGTGCAGCGCTTCTCTTACTTTTTTGCCTGTGCTTGTGCAGCCAGAGCAGAAAACAACCTTTAAAAAAATAAAAATAGCTTCCTCTGTTGAATTAGTGTATGAGTGCTGGTGCAAAGGAGGCAGTGATCACGTGGCCAGGCAGAAGCCTTGACTTGATAGTGTGTGCTGCTTTGGAGCTGCACTCTGAGGCAAGTGCAGTGAGCACAAAGGGATGTGTTAAGAGTTTCTCCCATCTTTCTTATTTGCTCTTAAACTAAGCTCTCTCTCTTCATAGAGACCGCATACCATTGTCCTACTGCTGTGACTGGTAAAAGTTCTCAGGTACTCAATACGAAACCATGTTATCATTTGGTGTTAGTCATAGATGAACCTCAAGCACGTGTTTGGCTGATGTTTAACTTGTGAATTTAGACTCCCAAGTAGGTAGGTTTGAATAACTGGCATTTCTAGACCTAGAGTTCTTGCTTTGTCATCATCAAGCTTGTGATTCTCCACCCTGCCAAACATATCGGAGCAGACAATCTGACTAATGTTTTGTCCGTTCAGATTGTAATCCTTGTGTTGCAAGTTGAACAAAACGGTTAAAGAGATGTGAAACCTCAAACATGATGGTTTGGCGTGGGTTAGTATTTGATAAGGTGACTGAGCTTGCTTATTTGTATGTGTTTCTAGATTATAGGTTTGTAGTATATAGAATTCAGTGTAAACGCCACTTTTCTTTTTTCCTTTTTGACAGTTTTTTTCCGTTGTATTGTACGCAATGCTCTCCATAAATGTGGACTTCTGTTTGATCAGTTTCTCTGTTTTACAGCTAGGGCTCTGCTCGTAAGTGTCTGTATTACTGAGATGGAGTATCTTTTCAAAACTAGTAACCTGAGATTAGAACAGGATGTGTTTAAGCAAGAGTGATTAAGTTAAATTTGTTTAACCGAAAAAAACCCACCAAACCTTAAACCCTGTAGCATTCTCTTCCTTAAATCATAATTAACAACATTTCAGGAATATGTTAACAGATAAACTAATATTAAACGGTGGAATTAGTTTAATATTCTAAAGTTAGATTTTGTGCCTTAGCCTAAGGGAGAGACCATTTTGTGTGAAGCTTGTGTTAACCCTTTTGGAAAAAAGGTAGGTTCTGTAGATTAAACGTTCACGTGGTTTCCAGATTAGAGAAGGTGCAGCTCTTCTTCTGGCCCCATGACAATTGTTTGCTTTGTGGCTTGCGTATTTTGTTGCTCTGGGTGTTCTTGTTTCTGTATGTATACATAAAGTGGTGCATTCTCTGATTAGTCATGGCAATTCTAAATAATGCATCATTGCTATTGGCTAGCTGTGTAAAGTATGAAACTCCTGTGGCTTAATTACAGTCCCATTTTATGATTCCAGATTAGGATGACCAAAGCAGCATTAAAAACCAACAGTTAACTGGTACTTCTTTTACTGCAGGAAGTTATTTGTTGGTATTGTTCGTGCAACAGTTTCAGTAATTATCATAGCAGCTGACTGAGCGGGGATCAGGGGAAGTTGCTTGGTTTTGTCAAAATGTTGTGGGTTGTAATAAGAGGAAGAATAATTTGCCAGGGACCTGTAACAAGAGCAGACAGTTAATGGGACAGTGATTGAACAGGACTGGTAGTCTCTTGGGATGGGGGGGAAATATATATGTGTGTGTGTGTGTTTTTGTATATGAATATATTTATAATACCCTGGATTCATTCAGCTATTGTGAGTTGGAAAAGAAAGAGTTGTAAAGTTGCACTGATCATTTGCTGTAACTTGGCGTTTAATAATCACATTTACGTTTGGAACATGCCTGTGTGTCATAACAATATTCTTTTTGCATAGAATGTAATAGAGGGCAAAAGATGTTGCAAATGTTCCTTTTCTATGGTCAGATAGAAGAAATCATTTTTAGACTGTGAGACAATTAACTTGGCTTTCTGATTTCAGTAAAAAATCCCAGAAGTGGGATGAAATGAACATCATAGCTACGTACCATCCAGCAGGCAAAGATTATGGTTTGATGAAAATAGATGAGCCCAGTACTCCTTATCACAGGTAGGCTTGTCAAACAGCTGTCCTAAATAACATTAATCTTTGATGCTAGGCAATGTGGTAGTAGTTTTGCAGCAAATATGGCCTTTTTGGATGATGCAATATTTACTAAAACTATAGCTGCTTGCCTGAGAGACTGTGCAATCCTATTGGATGTATGCAACATATTTGAGTTTACAAACCTGCTAAATAAAGGCTTATACTTATTGAGCAGTACTGCCGAAAAAGATAAGGGGATTTTATAAGGTCTATGTATATGAGGCTTTAGGTTATTAATGGAATAAATAAGTGAGAATTGTATTGATTTTCAGTTGACATCTTTCATCTATATAAATATTTATAAAGCTATCATTCATATAAATATTTAAATTGGATTTAGAAAACTCTTAAAGTAGTAAAGAAGTCTTTTAATTTAATTGAGTGTGGTAGGGTCTTGATGGTTTTATCAATCAAATTTTGATCAGCAAGTTATTGATTAAGGCTACTTTCTTTGTTTGCCTTCCAAGCATGGTAGGAGAAGATGATGAGGATGCAGTGAGCGATTCAGAGTCGAATGAGCCCTTAAAAGCAGATGTGTTGACTAAAAAGTAAGTATTGTCATAGAAAACTGACTAAACGTTGCGATCATCATATCTTTGTAGGAGTAGTTGCTTTTTGGAAAGACGCTGCTGTTCTTGGAAATCGAATTTTTGCTATCTGCAGTGAAACAAAGTAGTCTTCTGTGCTAATAGTGCCTCTGGAATGAAAACGATCTCTTGCAGGATGTTAGTACACATGCATGTGGCAAAAACATTGGACAGAGCAGTTTGTATGAGTATTCTGAAACTTAATGTATTTTAGATTGTGAAAACTTGCTTCTTCAGCATTTTCCGTTATATGTTTTATGTAGACTAGCAGCTGCAGCTGAAGGTAAGGGACCCAAGATTCTAGCAAAGCAGGAGGAAAGCAGTGAGGAGGAGGAGGAAGATGAAGAATTAACACCTGAAGAACGAGGTAGGCATAAGTGGTTTCTTTTTTTTCCTATTACCAGTAGTTTGAACGTTTTGGTAAGAAATATTTGGGAAGGAAAAGTAACATCTAGTAGACAGGTGTTGTCATTTGAAAGTGGAGATATATAACCTCTCAAATGTAAGTAAAAGATTAGAAATATCACAGCTGTTTAGTCAGGACTATTTGTTTCGGGATCCACATATATAAAGAAGCAGCCTGCTGCTACTGGATGACCCCTTGCATATGAGCTGAAGGTGTGGAAATTCCTTTAAAGAAATCTGGCCTTCTCATATGAGAGGCTCTTTTGTTTTGGGGATGAGGGAGTATTGCTTAATCAGGACACGTTTTGGGAAGAATTAACAATTTAATGAGTACCACTGCAATTAAAGCACTACTAACTGCTTGGAAGTGTGTAGATGTTTTTTGTGTTTATTAGCTTCAAATCAGCTGGTAGATGGATCTAGCAAGAAAACTATAAACATTCTGTAGCAAATTGCCTTATTCATCTTCAATAGATATGCTATTCTGCCTTAGCTTGGGCTAGAATGTTTTGAGGATACAGTCCTAAGGTTACAAGCTTGTGTTTTCTAGCTGTTACTTCTCATGTTTCTTGGCCCCATTCATCAACTTTGAGCATGTAACCTTCCAGTTCTGGTGAGGAAGACAAAAACAGTGTTTGATTAAAATGAGTTACTGCTAGACCTGTCACAGGAATGCTGAATATGTGGAGCAAAGTTAGGCTTCAGGCCACGGGGAAAGTGGAAAATATTTTCTTCTACACATGGTAAATGCATCTCTGATGCCTTTGGTAGCTAGCCAGGGGTCAAGTCAGACATCTGCAGAAATTCATTTTCTAGCCTACCAGTGATGTCTCAATTTGCCTGTAAGTTTGCTTGAAAGAAGACTTCTGAAACTTTGCAGACAGGTTCTTTGAATAGCACTCCAGCCATTCCAGTCCATTAACTATTAGCTCTTTTATGTCAGACTGGTTTGATAGAACATTTCACTGCTTGAAGAACATATTGTGAATTCAGGAGTTGCTTGATGATATAAACAATGTATTTTCAAAGTGGGAGTGAAACTGACCTAGGAAGTAGTTGATGATCATGTATCTCTGAAGAGAAGATAAGCTGATTTAAAAAATCAGTTCAATATTTAGATTTGTGTGTCCACAGAGAAGAAGAAACAGTTTGAAATGAAGAGAAAGATGCACTACAACGAAGGGCGAAATATCAAACTGGCAAGACAGCTCATTGCGAAAGAACTACATGGTGAAGATGAGGAGGATGAGGATGAAGAGATGCATGATGCTGCAGATGTAGAAACAATGAATACAGAAGCAACTGAACATGGTGAGCGGCTGATTAATCAAAAAGCATGTTTAAGCATGGTAGCCCTTTCAGCTGTTGGAAAATCAGTAGACTCAAGTGTAAGAATGAATAGAAAAGGGGAAGTATGTATGTAATGCTTAATGTGTAATACTGTGTACTATCTTGATAGACGTGTAGAATGGTACTAAAAACATCAATTTAAGGGTGAGGACTTTTTTCTGTTGTGGCTCAACAGAAAAGCAAGCAACTCTGCTTGAGGCCGGTGCTATTTCCACAGCATAACTGACTCTCGGTAGTGAAGCTGCCAGCATCACTTTTAGAGGAAGAGTATCCTGTACAGAATACTTTGAGCTGTGGCCTCATGGAAGAGCCTGATGGATTCACTTTCCATTCTACTCTCAACCGTCCTATAGTACGCAATGGGAAAAGGGAAAATAGCATGACTGCTTCCTCCTTGTTGAGAATAGGATCCTTGTCTTCCTAAGTAAGAACTTCTGTCTTACTGTAACTTAAAACTGTACTGTTAGGACTTCAGTATGTGCTTGTCCTTAAGCAGTAGCATTCACTTTTATAGTGTGGGATAAGAAGCTCAGCTTCCCTCTAGCTGCTGTAAGAAAGTCTGGGGCTTGTAGCTGGGAACTGTTTCTGTAACCTGCTTCAGGGCTGTCTCTTGATGTTAATCGGATAGCTAGAGGTTGACACCTTCTGTTCCATCTTTCAGCTTCTCTCTGAGTGAAAATGGTAGACTATGTAATAAAAGCAGTCTCCGATATTTGTGGTGGCCTTCCGGTGAATAACCACAGCTTTTTAGTTCCCACCTCTATGTGGGACTTTGAAGAAGCTTTTGGTATTAAGGACACCTCTGCTCATGAGACTAGTGCCAATGAATTAAAGTTTGTAAGCCTCATTCATCTGTTGCTTGGCAAAGTTGTGAGACGTTAGCACAGTCTGCAGACATGGGAAGATGCTGCAGGGGTTTAAACTGGTTCACATTTGATTGGTGCAACAACGTGAACTAAGAACTCTTCTAAAATTAGAATTTAAATTCTGCACAGTGAGAAGGTGACTTGCAAAGCTGGATTTTTTTGTTAATGTTTCTGTGGATTGCACATTTTCGTTCCACTATTTATTATAAGGAGGCTAAAGCCTTCATAATTGCTAGAGGGTCATTTGGTATATGTCAGAGACCCATTAATCGATTGACTTCCTACAGTAATTTATAATATGCCTTATATGGCTATTTACTAGAACTTCACTCTCCAGGGGAAAGGAGGGCTCCTTTCTGCACTCTGCTGTAAAACAGGGAGGCAACTACGCTCCCCAGCTGCATTCTCCAGTGGAAAGAAGGCACACCTTTGCAGCATTTTTCCATCTCTATTGTTGAAGTCCATTCCACCTTGCTTCATAACCCAGCTTCTGAGCCACCAATGGTAATTATCAATTTTAGACTGCTTATGGCTGATAGACTCCATAAATGTAACTGACAGTTTATCAACCCGTTAACTCTAACTGGTTCACCTTAACTCCATGACTTACAGAAACACTTTCCATTAACTTCACATGTTTCTCAACTTTCCGTTTTTGTTTTGTATCATGCTGCTTAGTGAAACACGAAGTTTTGTTATCTCCTAATCTCTACATCAACCGTCTTAATTTTTGGTCTGTGTACTTGATCGTTTCCTCAGAAGTTAGGTACTGGTCAAACTTTTGAAATGGTTCATGAATTCAGTGTGCTCTAACTGGTTGTGTGCGACTCTAGGACTGGTGAAAAGATGATGGAATCCAGTCAGAACTGTATTAATAAACGTCAGCTCCATGTCTTTCGTCACTGCCCACCTTTTAAAAATTTCCTACGTTGAGACTGATAAATGTTCAGAAACACACCCTTGTTAAAGTAATGTCAAGGTTTTACTGAAATAACCTTCTGGAGATGATATCTCTTGATCATTCTCTCATCGAGGGCTCCTTTCTTATAAATGTTAATTAAATGTATTTTTGAGCCACAGAGCTTTTCTTGAGTAGCTGCTTTTAAAACTTTCTTGGATTCTTTGCTAATCTGTGGTTTTGGCCATGCTAGGCAATTGGTTTTAATCAGTATTTCAATTTGGTTTCTTCCTTAATGGAGGTGGATCAAAATGCTATTAATATTCTTGTTCCTAAGCTTCTCCCTTTAGGACTGTGAGCATATCAAGATGCTTGTGGATTATTCTGAAGCTGTGTGGAAAGATTGCTCATCTGGATATCCTTCAAAGAGCTCTTCAGCTGCAAATCATTGTATTTTAGTGTGCTTTTTAGAGCAGAGGAGGAGACCTTTCTTTACTCAGTGTATTGGGTGAAGTTATCTGGTAATGCAGGAGATCACACCTGTGAGGGCTTATTTTGGCTTCAGTCTGTTAAACTGACTAACAGCTCTGATGTCTCCTTTTTAACAACAAAGGAAAAATCTGCCTCTTTCTGTATGTTGCTTTGTACCTACATTTTGATTATTTCTTTCATTTGACTTCTTCAATTCTTTTGAAGTTGCGGAAATCGTCTGGTGATGTGGCTACCACTCACATATTAGGTCTCAGACTGTGTATAAACGTATATAAGTAAGAACTGGCATGCAGGGTCTGTTTCTTCCACTGGAGAAATGTGACTGTTTTAGGGTACTGATGATTATTCCAGGTAAAGATGTGACAAAAGAGTGGTTTCTTGGTAGTCCGTTGTAAATCTGGGGTTCCACTGGCTCCTGGATTGTTTTTCAGGCGCTTTGAGAGCCTCTTGTCATTTGGAATTTGTCTGTCCGTGAAGATCCCTTAAAGGTTCTGTGCTTCTCTTATCAGATGCTTCTTTCTACCCTCTAATCCTACCTGTTTTTTTTTTTGTTTGTTTGTTTGAGTAAAACCATCAGTATTCCTGACTTCCACAAATCTCTTTTGTAATGTCTATGCTGAGAAAGAGGCTAATGTCTCAGAGACAGATTTTTAAGAAGGCTTCTGTCAGGTACCACCAAGACCACTAATACAAGTTGCCCTTCTTGGTTACAGACTGAGATTTCTTGCTGATTGAAATGAAGATGGCCAGTCAAGTCAGTAATGGTGAGAACTGTTCGTATGTTTTTGCCCCTATTTTCATCCTGGGCTAGCAAGCGTTTGCAGTCGATGATGGGTCATTCCTTTCTTGCCTCGGATAGCTGTGCCTTATCTGTGCATACAGATACTACTAAAGAAGCTTTCCCGAGGGGGAAAAAAAACATGTTAAACTTGCAGTAGACTGCATTGGGATTGCTTGCTTCAGCACTTCAGCTTCTTTGGAATTTCTCTGGCTATGCCCTATTTAGCACTCCATGAACAATATGATAGACTTTGCCAGCAAGATGGTGACCTTCATCCCTTTCCGCAGACGCTTTTCTTTTAAAAATTCTCTTTGAGATCAGTGAAAGAAGGATTCCTGATGCAGGTGAATTTAAGCATGAGGACTTCAATATAAGCTTGGTTTTACTTCTGCTGTACAAAAGCTTATTTCCTCAGGAGATAAAAGGGTATGATCTGTAGCAATTCAATTGATGAGCAGTAAAACTATTGTCCTCTGCTTACGGTGCATTTAGCTATTCATTGCTATGATAACCCTGCTCGGATACTGTGATCAGCTTAGCTGTCAGCTGACTGGGTGTGCTCTTTTGGCCCTTGGTGGATACAGAATGCATTGTGTTTTCTTAAACCACAGTCAGCATCTCATCATAAAGATGACTTAAGTGAGATGGCCAGGAGCATACACAAATTGGTTTTGCTTGTCAGCTATACTATTCACTTGTTAAACTGCACGTGACTAAGTCTAACTCATGCCGGAGCCTAGCTGGCTTTTTTTTAAGAAAGGAAGATCATCGGGACTCGGCTTTCTCTGGTCTTTGCTTTATGCCACTGAATATTTTTCTTTTTTAAAGCAGAGTTAGAGTTGGCTTTTTCATAACAAAAGCTCTGATGAGAAGGAACCTTCTCTTTATTGCCTTCTGCCCTGTAGCATGTAAGATCTTTGGTTCAAAACGTGACTTTAATGTAATTTCTTGAACAACAAAACAGACTGTTCCATTTATTAGCTTGTTTTGTTTCAAAATGTCTCTTCTGGAATTGACATTTGACCTGAAGAGCTTGTGTTTCAGGAACTTCATATGTTAGTTCTGCGCGTTGGTAACTCTAACTCTTGGCTAAACGCTCCCAAATCCAGGGGTGGCCAGCATTCAGTGCTGCTGTCGTATGCTGAACAACAGTGTTGGCTGCTTCTTTGGAATGTGAGAGTGAAATAACTATTTTGGAGGTTTCTGCACTCTTGGACTGAAAGTACAGGTAGACTGCGAAGATGGGACATACTTCTGGGATGACAAACATTACCTATGGGGAAATAAAGATGATTTCAGCAGACATTTCTTACTACTTTTTTTTTTTTTGAAACTACTCATTGAGCAGGAATAGTTATCTACTTTTGTAATCTTTTTCTTATGCAGCACATGCTACTAGTGACCAGCTGGGAAGTAGAGCACACAGCATAGAAGAAATCTGTCCAGAACTGTAACAAGACGAATATAAACACTGCTTCATGATTTTTGCAATTATGGCTCTTAAATATCGAGAAGCATATCAGTTACAATGTTGCATTGCCAAGAATGTTAATTTTAGACTTGTCTATTAGGCAGAAAAAAACTGTCTAACTGATTTATTCTTGTGCCTAGTATTTCACGGAGAATACTGCTTCATAATCTGTTCGACCAGAATGGCATTCCCTGTATGTGTAACGCTGATTATCTTGCGTAATGTACTGTTACTCTTCATGCTTTGAAACACAGACAGTATCTTTGGATTTTTTTTCACTATTTATTTGACAGTGTTCTAGGTGTGGTATCTCCTATGAAAGGGTTTGGAATCCAAGAGCCAAACGGTACAGCATACATTGGATTGACATGCAAGCTATTTGTCAGATGTGTTAAGCAGTTTAAAAAGGGATTATTTAAGTCTTACAACTTTTTGTGTAGAATTTTGACCTGTTAATCTAGATTTCGGTATGTTATTACCTGTATTTTCCCAGTCTCTAGAAGAAGAGTTGTATTATTTTTAAGAGCTATGTTTGGAATCAATTACTAGCTTCTGACTAAGGCAGCACTAACTTCTGGTGGAGGGATGTTTTTACACTGGAAACGCGCTAACTTGAACTTTGAATTTTACTATCATCTATCTTTTCCATTGAGACTGGGTTTTTTTGGAGCTCTCTTGGCTTATCTTGAAAACATGAAAGTTCCCTGCAACTTTTCTTTTTAAAACCACATCAACTGTCACTCTTCTTGCTCTTGTCTCAAACTTTTGGACTTTTCCAGCTGCATGAAGAGTGCTTGTGCTGCTAGCACCTGAAGTAAAACACCCATTTAGGAGGAAATCCACATCAGGACTGCGGAGATGGGATGGATTTAGGCTCTATCTGCTCTTTATATATAAAGATAACTGATGATGATCTCATACCCTCTTGGGGTTTGTACCCCGTGTACTGAAAACCACTGGTCTAAATCTTTCTGGATCCAATGTAACTTGCAGCAGCCTGCATTTTGCAAATGAAGGCTGTTTGGAAGAATGGAAGGGAGACTGCCTAATTCAAATGCTGTTTACAAAGTAGTTGGATAACCCCTGTAAAGAGGGATTTTTGAACCTCCAAATTACTGTAAACAACTTCCCACTCAATGGATTTTGACTGGTGAATGTTATAGTATTCAAAATAGTTCTTGGTTTTTATTACACAAATGAAGTATACACTTAAGCTTTAGCTTGGTTATAGAATACATTGTATATCTTAATTTTGATCTGAATTTGATATGTTGCAAAAATCCATATAATTATATGGAACTATTTTAAAATGTCTTTTTGTCCACTGTATATGTGAAGTTTGAATAAAGGAATGAAAATTATTTTACAGTTATCTGTGTTCTCAAGTGTGAGCTTTCATGAAATCCCAGAACACATTGAGAATGAATAAAGCAATGGGATGCAGTCATTGAAAGATGTTATTCAGGATTAACACATTAGAATGGGTGTTGTGAGCTGTGCGAAGTGGACGTAGTGGTATGTGCCTTTCCTAAATCTCTTTTCTTCTTAGCAGGTAACAGGATTGCGAGCTGTGGGATATTTAGTCTAGCTTCTAAGGACCTGAATCAGAATTAAGAGCATCTTTTCACAAGAAAGAGTTGAACCCTTGAGTCAATCCAGTGTGGTGATGCTACCTTTTCAGTAATAGTGAGTGCTGTTTCTTATTGTATCAAACGTGGTCATTTCTATAGAATAAGTAGGGCCAAAAAGTGAGCATTTTAACACTACTGACTTCCAAAGTCATTTATTGTCGCTTTAACTTTAGATTTTGAAATCATATATTTTTTGAGCCAAAGTGTTTACATTCCAAATATGTTAGTTTGCAGTGCTCAAACTGCCAGTAGGTCTGCATGGCTCTGTGCAGACTGACCTGTTTTTCAGATTGGCTGGATGATGGCCTGCTCTGCGTCAGCCAAGGAAGTATGTCCTACTGAGAGAGCGGTATCACTTAAGTCTGTGTGATTTTCAGATTGGAGTACAAAGGGGTCAAGATTTTGACTGATGTGAATGAGTCATGCAGATGACTTCTCTGATACCGCAAGACAGACTACTTGTGCTTAGTGATGAGGTCAAGCAGTGGCTGTACCCAAAATCGGGGCAGAAACCATCAGAAGCAGCTGTGTACCTGAGCAAACTTCCTCCTGTCCCCTCTGCTTCCTTTTTGTGGTTGTCCAGGACCTCATTTTCATTTAGTGCTTAGTGGGGGTACTTTGAACCCTACAATGCTTGGGAAGCATTGTGTTTAACAAATAAACAAAGCCTTTGCTACTTTTCAGTAAAGACCTTTCCTGTAATGGTTTCCAAAATCCCAGCTCAAAGGAGGATGTAGCTGTGAGGGAGGTACAGTACATTACACACTCATGAAGCTGGTTTTGAGTGAGTCTCAACTTCATGGTTCAAATTCATTCAGATCACTTGTCCCTTCATCATTCAGATGATTTTAAGCTGTTTGGGCGATCTCCCCTTCTCTGTGTCACCAAGCCCCAAGTTTTAGTTAGATGCCGTTTTGTTATAACTTTTGTTGATTTTTTAGTTATGGGCTTAATTAAAGCTTTTATTCCATTTTAAAGCCATTTTCACTTTTTTCTGTGAAAACAAATATACTGTTTGTATTCCTGCTTCATCTCGCTCATCTGGAATGTAACCTGATGTACCTGATGCTTCTATGCCTGAGGCTTCATTTAACAGAGAGGCTGATTGCTTGATTTTATCCAGCCTTTTACACCTTCATGCGTTTTAAAAGCTAAAATATCTGTAGTTACTGCAAAGTAAACTTATCTACTGTGTACAGTTTTTATTACAGAGGGATATCTGACTTCCTTCTCTTTTGGAAATATTAATTACAGCTCCCTGTTGAATGGGGGCAAAAGAGAAGAAATGCCTTTTCTCTTTTTACATTGGAGGTTTTAATATTGTGGTGCCTTTGGTAAAGGCTCAGTCATACAGCAGTGAGTAGCGTAAAGAGGAAACAATTATCCCCTTCCTCCCCAGTAGTGTGGAAATGGAGCCCCACAGCGCCATAATTGTGAGGCTTCTCACACAGGTTTATTTTAGTCCTTAGGAGGCATCCTATTCAAAGAACACATTTTCAATGTGCTTTCAATTGGATGATCACTCGCAAATAGCGGTGCTTTTTGTGGTATTTATGATATAGTCTCACAAATGTACTTATTTTGTTTGAGATCCGTGTTAAGTGTCACAAAGTAAATAAAACTGTTCCCTTCATTACTGCCTTGTGACGCTGTCTAATAGATGTATTGTGGATTGACTTCTAACAGCTCTTTTAGAAGAAACTGGTAGCTCTTACAATGTGGGCAGGTGGGCTTGTAAATGAGTATTTAAACCAATGTTACACTTTCCTCACCACTGCAAAGGAGGAAGGACTCTTGAAGTGTTCAGGGTAGGTTTGGCGTACTTTAGTTTGTACGCGTTTTCAGATTATGTGTATTGTTGGACCCCGACACGTGAGGGTAGATCTAGGAACCTCAGTTAAGAACTTAAGATAGCTGTCCCACAGAAAAAGGTTGTGTTTTTCATGGTAATTTGTGTGTGTGTGTGTGTGTGTTGTAGGATTAAGGCGTGGCTCTGGTCTTTTGTCTACATGGTCAGCACTGAGTAATCAGTCCCTTGAACTGAGTAATGAAAAATGACTAACCAATTACTCCTGAGGAAGCAATGTTGTTTTCCAAAAAGAGCTAGGCTCTCTAAATTGCACACTTGAATTGAAAAGTGGATTTCACAATGTAAATGCGGCCTGGGTGATACAAAGATTTCTTAACCTGCTGTTTTTTTTCTGTGTGAAGAGACAGCTCGTGGAAACGTGGTCATTTCACATTGGTTTGGATTTGGCATTTCACAAATCTTTTAAAAGGAGAAAAAAAAAATCCTGAACCACAGCCAGCTAAATCAAAAAGCTTCAGCTGGCTTCTGTGAAAGGACCTGTAATAAAAGTATGGTTAGAGCAGGCATTCGAGCTGTTTTTCAGGAGAGAGGCCTTAACGTGCAGGCTCTCCTTGTGAGACGAAAGGGAAGTCAGGGGAGAGAGAAAGGCTAGGGCAACAAAAATGGAAGGGGATGAAACATACACAGGTGAAGCGTGGGGCGGCCGATGGCATGAAGCTCGCCTGTCCTGCAGCACGTGCCTGTCCTGGGCTGCCCGGCGGTGGCAGCACGGGTCTGGGTGTGCGACTGCCCTGGCGCTAGAGGTAGTGCGTGAATGGGATCAGCTGCAGCCGGCTCTTGGCACCACGGCTGCGGGATTCAGCTGGTGACTTGGCATGGTGTTGTGTTGTCTTTGCCACCTTTAATTTGAGATAGCAATTTGCATTCTGTCCCTGCCTTTGATAATTTGCAATGAGGGCTGATGCAGTTTTTTTCTTTGGGATTGTTTACAGCTGGGAACAGTAAGTAGTGCCAAAACTTGTTAAAGCTATTTTTCTCACTGTTTTCTCTTAAAGGATCAGGGATCGGGAATAAAGTTCTGCAGTCCTTCGTTACAAAGAGGAGGACGGGACCAGCTTGGTCCTTTTTGCTTTATCTGTGATGCAGCTCTTCTGCTGTCTGAAAAGTTTTGAAAAAAAAAACTCTTAGGCAGAAGTTGTGTACAACCCCCAAAACGCATACTTGGTGTTGTTTCAATAGAAAAAAATTCCTGCTGTTGAAGTTTCTCCTTCAAAGACACCTTTGAATCTCTGGTAAGTAATATACCTTTAAAAAGTGTATGAACTATTTCCAGCATCTAGAGCTTCAAAGTAGATACAGCTGAGAGGGGAGCTGTAACTTCTCCAAGGTGGATTTAAACGTTGTTCCTGCATCATCAGAATGTGCAGAACCGTCACCTGCATGCTTTTTCCTTAGCAGTGGCAGAAAAAAAAAATTTCACCTAGAATGATAGTTTTATACTCCGTGATGCATCAGGAATCGAAACCCCACTAAGCAAGGTAACGACAAAGGGCCGTGTCCTCCGGCGGCCAGACTGCAGCGTTCGTCCGTTTTCACTAGTCAGAAGAATTGCTGCGGAGAAGCCGCTGAGGTGTCCCGACCGGCGAGTCCTGCTTCAAATTTCGGAAGCCAGGGAGAACGGTAACCCTTGTGCATCCAAAAGGAATAAACGCTGAGAGTTTCCTCTGAGACCAGCAAAGCACTGGAAGTTCAAAGTGCTTCATGTCGCTCGTTATCTATCATCCCGCTGGTATTTTTTTTTTTTTTTGCTGTTCTATAAGTATCTGTAAGGTATTTAACTGCTGGTTGTGAAGGAGGGTTCAGTCTTCCCTAGCCTTTTTCTCAGACGCACCGCTTGCTGGGCGGCCTCCCCCATGACCTCCTCGTGCAGCACATCTGGCTGCCATTAAATAAATCACATCCTGGCACCATGCTGCCAGAAAGTGTGTGGTTTTTTGTTTTTTTTTTTTTAAGTCATTGGTTGACTATTCCCTAGCGAGCTAGAAAAGAGGCAAGCTGATAAGAGCCCAAGTATGGACATAGAGGCGCCAGAAGCACCGGCCTATCGCGACAAGACCGTCTGTCGTGACAGCGTCGCCCG